TGAACCAATAGCCGTAGAGTTGTAGATCTGTAAATGAGCTAACGAGAATGCCCTTCAGTTTACAGCAGGGGTCTCCAAACTACGGCCCGCGGGCCGGATGCGGCCCGCGAGGTCCTCTCATCCGGCCCGCGGAGATCTTTTTGTCCTCGGAAAAAAACGTTTGTTGGAGTTGGCTGAGGAACTTGCTCAGAAAGTCGCGACATGCCTGGAAGAAACTGGCCCTCGAACTGAAATTTGATAGTTAATGCGGCCCTCGGACTGAAAAGTTTGGAGACCCCTGGTTTACAGCATCAAGTAACACAACGTGTGCTGAATAAAGTCGTTGATGTGTTAAAACAATCTCTACGGTCGAGGAGATATCGATGTCGGTTTGAAGCATTAAGAAACATAAGACTCAGAGGGGGGGGGGGGTGCGGACCGCACCGGGTGACACCATTTAGGGGGCAGATACCAAGAAAAAAAAATAGCAAAATATATAGAGAAAAACTTAAGGGGGTGCAAACCGAAAGTTTGAAAGTTTGTCCCGGGAAGGGTCGCTACGCCTCTGGGGGGTGACACCATTAAGTGCCGTACCGGGTGAAACCCGACCTCGCTACGCCACTGATAAGACTGTCTCGGATATTAACAACTGCTCTTCTTAAATGACCTCATTATACAGCTTTAAAGTAGCGCAGGTTCAACTTGTCAAGGAAAAACTCTTAAATACTCAACTTTTAAAGTTTTTTTTTATTATGTATTTTATTTCCAAAAACTCTATATAAAGTAGTTTGCGGTGTGATTTAGAAAACACTATTTACATTAGAGAAGGTCAAATAGTTTAAACCACGGACTATTGTTACTATATTGTAACAAGCTTCTAGATTTATATTATTATGATCTTTCCAAACGTTTCATTTGAGTAAATCAAGCTCCCGTAAGAGCCGTTTAAAATTGCACGAGCCGACCAATGAAGGTCGTCTGTGCGGGGAATTGGGAATAGTTTTCAACTAGCTATAACCACTTTTTTATATTTCTTTTTTTTTTTTTTTTTTTTTTTTTAAATACTTTTATTTGCAATTAAAACAAGTACATCAACATCAAATTTTGTAACATAATTTTGAACACCAAATGAAAACGAAATGTTTTGCAAATGTACATAATGAATATTTACATGATGTCATGTATTTGATTATAAAAAAAAAATTGCAAAGGATGACAGTAAAAGAGGTGAAGGTCAAATGAAAGTGTCAGAAGTCTGGGTGGGGAGAGGAAAGGAAATTTTTCAGAGAGGGTCAATGAGACAGTGAAGCATTTTCTATGTAGGGAAACAACTTAAGTTGACTAGTTGAAAGGGTGTTGTAGTGGTCGCATTGAGTTTTCAAAAGGTTGCAGTGTGAAAGATGAGGGGAAAGAGACAAGATTTAGATACGCAGACGACACTACTTTCTTAGTACAAACAGAAAAAGCAATACAGACTGTAATAGAAAAATTCAACAACTTTGGGAAAGGGAGCGGGGGAAAAATAAACGCAGAAAAATCAAAAGTAATGGGTATAGGTACATGGAAAGGTAAAGATAACTATCACATAGACATAACAATAACTGACAAACTCAAAATTTATGGAATAACCTATACTAGCGATCCCACAATAAACGACCAAGAAACCTGGACCACACTGAAAAATAAAATAAATCACAATCTGGAAAAATACCAATACTGCAATACAACCATTTTTGCCAGAGCTGCATTAGTAAACAGACATATCATTCCAAAAATAATTTTCGTAGCGACGAACTCTACAATACCCAACTCATTTATTAAAAAAACAAACAAGCACATTAGAGAGTTCATTTTCAAAAATACGATTAGAAACATTAGCCACAAAACCTTAATACAAAATAAATTAAATGGAGGTATAGGGCTACACGACATTCAAACTAAAATAAACACCTTCCGATTAAAACACCTGGATAGAATAAGGATAGAACCACATTATCATCCATTAGCACAATACTACATTGGGTTAAACATAAAGAGCATTTTAAAATTAAACATCATAACACCACACTATGGGGGAAATGACATAGGCAGCTTTTATAAAGAAACGCTAGCAACATTCCAAGGAAACAAAAGCATTATTGGGGAAGACACAAAAAAAATATACGACATTCTAATCAAACAACAAGCGACACCCTTATACACGAGAATTAGTTGGGCCAGGGAACACAATATAATAGACATTAAAGATACATTTAGAAATCTACATAATAAAAGCATTACACCAAAAGAAAGGGAAATGGGTTGGCTGGTTGTATAAGTGTATTATTTACTAGTGGGTAGGTTGTATAGGTGTATTGTTTACTTGTGGGTAGGTGGGTTGGCTGGTTGTATAAGTGTATTATTTACTAGTGGGTAGGTTGTATAGGTGTATTGTTTACTTGTGGGTTGGCTGGTTGTATAAGTGTATTGTTTACTTGTGAGTAGGTTGTATAGGTGTATTGTTTACTTGTGGGTAGGTTGTATAGGTGTATTGTTTACTTGTGGGTAGGTTGTATAGGTGTATTGTTTACTTGTGGGTAGGTTGTATAGGTGTATTGTTTACTTGTGGGTAGGTGGGTTGGCTGGTTGTATAAGTGTATTGTTTACTTGTGGGTAGGTTGTATAGGTGTATTGTTTACTTGTGGATAGGTTGTATAGGTGTATTGTTTACTTGTGGGTAGGTTGTACAGGTGTATTGTTTACTTGTGGGTAGGCTGGTAGGTTGTATAGGTGTATTGTTTACTTGTGGGTAGGCTGGTAGCGATAGTGGGAGTCTGGGAATGACCACTGGGAGACCTATTGGGGGGGGGGGGTTGAAGTGTGCTGGCGTTTAAACACGTATTATGATATAATACATGATGTCAAGGGTCTGTCTAGTACTTTAATGCCAAGCTGCGATAACAATAAAATAAATTTACGTTGTACCCTCAATAATTTTTTTCAGAACCGTTGAAGTCTTCATTGAAGAGTAAACAATGTTGAAGCATACAGATACTGATTGAGATGTTTAACATAAGCCCTTCTTTTATAATCGATGGGTTGGGTCTCATGTTGTTGTTCACAATCACTTCAGAAGGCCATTTTTTTTTAATTCTGTCGTTTTTTTTACTTTCTCGTATATACGAAGTATAGAGAAAGTCTTGTAATCGTGCAAAAAAAAATCGAGATTTTTACAAATCTCGACGTTTTACACCTCACTGATACGGAAAAACATAATTTTGCAATCTTTTCCGTATGTCTGTGTGTCTGTCTGTGTGTGTGTGTGTCCGTGTGTAAACACGATAACTTGAGTACCGTTACAGCTAGGTTGATGAAATTTCATATATAAGTATTTTATCAAAATCGTAGATCCGTATCCTTTTGAGCGATTTCCGATAACCGGAAGTGGTACTTTTCCTACTTTGAATTTTTCAAAAGCCTATAACTTGAGTACTATTTCAGATAGATAAATGAAATTTCACATGTAAGTAAAAGATCTAATTATCTACCTTCTGTTAAATTTTGAGTAATTTCCGTTAACTGGAAGTAGTACTTTACGCTACTTCCGATTTCTCAAAAAACTAATGTAAATTTTAAAAGTACTAATAATATTGCGCACTATTATGCGCTTTTTTATTTGGCGTTCACTTGGTGTGCAATTAATTTGTCTACGAGATTTTATTCTATTTTTAAAACTTTAAGTATTTAAAATGGATTAAAAATCATGTCTATAGCCCGAGTTCCCATCCCCTGTTATTTTATATAAGAATATTCGAGAAAGTTTAGGGGAGATCACACACGGTTTATTTTATGCTGTTTTTGTAAAAAAAAATGTTACTTTACGACATTGAAATGTGTGGTTAATCTTTAAATTGTATAGCCTATGTGAATATGTGAAGAAAATTATTTTATACTCTTTTAAATCAAATAGCATGCAGAGAGTAGTCTGAGATTTAGCATAAAGTTCATATTGAGAAGGTGTGAAGAAAGATAAAAATCTATATATAACATATTACAAATGCATTTAAATAAACTAAAAAATACATCTAGCAAAAATAAGGAAGTAACCACAAGCTTTAGCAATGGTTCGAGCAACATGAAACTTGGGGTTAGTTCCATAAGACATGTAAATAGTGGGGAGGGAGAGGAAGTTTTTACATATGGTCTGTTTGAGTTATACATTGCATCCAGTAGAGTTTGATCCTATGATTTGTGATTCTATACCTCTAAATATAATGATTAAGGACATTTAGCAAAAGATGAAAAAGTTTTTACAACAAAAGATTGTCTGCTCAGAAGTTTTGATGTCACTGTACCTGTTGGCTAGATGGCCTTGTTACTGCCGGTCTGATGTTTATTGTACTTGTCTAATGGAGGTTGTATTAACTGTTAACCTGATATTCTGTCATGTTGCTGTATGTATGACTGAGCTGTTTATGAGTAGTGTAAATGTGTAAAGTTATGAATGATAATTGTATTACAGTACTTATATTGTAAACATCTAGTAAATAATACATTGAAGTTGAACAGCGTGTTTTATTTTAGTAAGCTTCTGTTATTGTTAATGTGTAATTGGTTTGATCAGAAATGGTAAACTCCCTTGTCCCAATGAATGTGCATTGTCAATTTTATAAAATTTGAAAACAACAGGCAAATTAACTGTGTGGCCTGAACAAAACCATGCGGGTATAAAAATAAAACCCTGGGTATCGAAAGTGATAGCTTACTTCTTTATCATACATATTTACAAATAACACAAAAAGAAGTAGGATAAAAAAAGAAAAAAATGTACACATGCAGGTAACATAATAGAATAAATTTCTTTTTTTACAGTATGTATAATAAATGTCGAGGTACACTCTTTGACAAAAGAACCATTTTATAATACAAATATAAAAACGTATTAACTATGACCCACTATTGGTTAACCACTAGTTAAAGCTATGTGCAGAGAAAAAATTATAAGAAATTTAGTAATAATAATTTTCTATAGATATTGTTTGCTTATGTTAAAAAATGAAATTACATAATGATTTTCTTTGACAATATAATTAGTAAATTGAAAAGAAAACATTTCCTTACCAACATCGCATTCCTCTGTCTTACTTATAGAATGAATTTTTTAGAGTATTTAAATTAGATATTTGAGAAAATCTTTCGAGAAAAACATCATTTAGACTACGACTTCTAGAAAAGCTTTAATGACAAATACCACATTCATGTAGCTTGTCTTCTGAACGAACTTTTTTATGTGCACTTAAATAAGAATGTTGAGAAACCATTTATAGCCAAAGTTTTTATGTGTAGTAAAATAACTATTCTAAGTAAATCATTTAGGACAAACATCAAATTCAAATGGCTCTTTTCCCAAAAGAACAAAATATCTCTTAATAAATCACACTTCCAATCAAACCCAATAGGACAAACATCACATTCATCGTGATTCAGGTGGCCTTTCATCTGAATGAGTCTTTTTATGTTTTTTTATATCAGAATTTTCAGAAAACCTTTTATGACAAACATCACGTTCATGTGGCCTTTCTCCTGAATGAACCTTTTTATGTTCTCTTAAATGACAACTATATGAAAATCTTTTCAGACAAACATCACATTCATGTGGTTTATCTCCTGAATGCACTTTTTTATGTTTTTTTAAATAAGAATTTGTAGAAAACCTTTTATGACAAACATCACATTCATACGGCTTAACTCCTGAATGCTTCTTTTTATGTGTACTTAAGTTAGACCTTTCAGAAAACTTGTGATGACAAACATTACATTCATATGGCTTATCTCCTGAATGAACATATTTGTGTTTACTTAAACCAGAACTTCGAGAAAATCTTTTATTACAAACATCACATTCATATGGCTTATCTCCAGAATGAACATTTTTATGTATTTTTAATTCATAATTTCTAGAATACCTTTTATGACAAACATCACATTCATGGGGTTTATCTCCTGAATGAATCTTTTTATGTGCTCTTAACTGAGAACTAGAAAATCTTTTATGACAAACATCACATTCATGTGGCCTTTCTCCTGAATGAATCATTTTATGTTCTCTTAAATGAGAACCTTGAAAAAACCTTTTATGACAAACATCACATTCATGGGGTTTATCTCCTGAATGAACTTTTGTATGTTCTTTTAATTTAGAACTATATAAAAATCTTTTAAGACAAATATTACATTCATATTCAGAGTGAACAATTTTATGTCGCAATAGACCATTCTTATCTGCAAAGATTTTATGACAAATATCACAATCATATGCCTTTTCTACTGGTTTAATAGCTGAATGAATCTTTTTATGTTTACTTAAGTTAGAACTATTTGAAAACCTTTTATGACAAACATCACATTCATATGGCTTATCTCCAGAATGAACTTTTTTGTGTCTACTTAAACCAGAACTTTGAGAAAACCTTTTACGACAAACATCACATTCATATGGTTTATCTCCAGAATGAACTTTTTTGTGTCTACTTAAACCAGAACTTTGAGAAAACCTTTTACGACAAACATCACATTCATATGGTTTATCTTCAGAATGAACATGTTTATGTATTTTTAAATCAGAATTTTTAGAAAACCATTTATGATAAACATCACATTCATGGGGTTTATCTCCTAAATGAACAATTTTATGTCGTAATAGACCATTCTGATCTGCAAAGTTTTTATGAAAAACATCACAATCATGTGGCCTTTTTCCTGAATGAACCATTTTATGTTCTCTTAAATGAAAACTTTGATAAAACCTTTTAAGAGAAACCTCACACTCATATGGCTTATCTTCAGAATGAACATTTCTCTGCATATTACTTTTAGAACTTTGAGAAAACGTTTGGTTATAATAAATAATTTTATTTTCGTTGTCCCTAGACAATTGTAGATTTTCTTCAAGTCCATTTTCTTGTTTATCCTCAAAAAATAAAAATTCTGTTGTGAAATCTTGTTTTAAATTTTCAGTAGATGATAATTCTGGTTTTAAATTTTCAGATGTTGAAAATACTGCTGATGCTGCTGGTTTCTTATTATTTTTTTCAACTGAACATGTAATTTCAGGTTTTACATATGGAGAAGTATAAAATGACATGTTAGGTTTTATATCCTGAACATTAAAAAATGATAATTCTGGTTTTATGTCATTAGAAGAAGAAAATTCTGATTTAACATCAGGTTTAACATCTTGAGAAGTTTTAAATGACATGTTAGGTTTTATATCCTGGAAATTAATAAATGTCAATAATTCTGTTTTGATGTCAGCAGAAGAAGAAAAGTCTGGTGTAACATCAGGTTTAACATCTTGAGTGTGGTTTTAAATGTCATGTCAGGTTTTATATTCTGAGAATTAAAAAATGACAATAATTCTGTTTTGATGCCAGCAGAAGATGAAAATATGGTCGATAGATCTGGTTTCAAATCTTCAGAAGATGAAAACTCATTTGACTTTATATCTACAGTAGATGAAACTGCAGGTAACACATCTGTTTCCGACTCCATGCTGAACAGCTTCTTAGATATGAACTGATGATTTAAAAAGATAAATGTTAAACTGGTGATTAAATAACCAAAACAACTTATTACTAACAACATGGCAAAATTTGTAACACATGCCAGACTTTTGTCAGTCTGATTACTAATGATTACTTAGATGTAATTTTAAAATAGACAACCAGTAATGCAAAGCAATCATGACAACAGATTAATGTCTTAAGCTACCAGTTTCTTAAAAATTATTTTAAAAATTAGAAATACTAAGATATTAATAATAACAAAAAAATCAAAACTTGATTTGCTTTAGTTAGTCTTTATATGTTAGTAATAAGTGCTTAATCTTTTCCAAATATGTAATAAAAGTTTTAAAATTAATTTTAACTACATGTCTAAACTGTCATAAACAACTTAATAAACACTTGCTTTCTTCAGGTAGCTTGGCACTAATGTTTTTTTTAGTTTTGTGACAATATTTGTACACAATAGGACTTGTAAGTTCTTTTTCTCTCTCACTTAAATTCAAGTCCTGTTAGCCGGGGAGAGATAAAAAAAATTGGAACAAAATCAATTGTTGTGAACAGGATTTATATTGATAACAAAAAAACATGGCAGCTTCAAGATTTAAAAATCATCAACAGCTCCCATAATGTAACAATTGTAAAAACTTTCAATGCTATTTTATTCTTATGGCTGGGAACTAATATATGTGCATGTATAAAGTTTTGTGTTTATGGATTTATTAATTTGTTTACAGGTAGTGCAATGAAGGCTATGGGACATTATTGTTACTCTACTCAAGTGGCTTAGCTTTTTTAAACTACCGAAAGAACACAATACTAATGGTGTCCTCTTCCAGTTTTAGAATATAAAGAAATGAACTTTTTCATTCAAATTTGATTTAGATCTAGATTTTATAAATTTTCTTATCAAGACCTACACTATGAAATGTATACAATTTTCTCGGTCAAACTGGTCAAACTAATAGAGAGGTTGAACACATGACCAAAACCATGTGATGTTTACATCTTCCGCCATATTGATGGCCGCAGAACAGCAACAATATTTGAAGAAACTTAAATTATTAAAGCACCTTTTTTTTTTGCTTTTTGTCAAGCTGATAGACAATATGAATATAATAAAAAACTAATTTTTTTATTATAAAATTAAAGGCAAATAGAGTCATAGGTAAAGCAATAAGCAATCGGTAATCTATCGTTTTAGGTACGTAAAATCGCCCGCGACTTGTAATGTGAAAAACAGGGGACTCCTTAAATTTTAATAAATATTTCACATTTTGTGGAGGATTTATGTTTTTTAAAATACAAAAATGTTTCCTTATTTCATTTATGTACCTGTTTTTAAACAATTGAATTAAAACTTTTCCATAATGAAGACTAGCGATGTTTCCAACAGATGCAACCATTCTCATTTACTATAGCAGCCATCTTGTTTAAGTTATATTTTTATAAGCTAATAGCGCTAGATTCAGGGGGAAGCCACTCTATTTTACAAATGGCTGCTGTTTATATAGCAAATCTTGCTCTCAGACACTGCTGTTTTAAGTTAATTTCTGGCCTATATCGATATATTTAGCCATTGATTTAGGTTTATTATTTATTTATAATATTCGACACAAACATATGACAATACAATTCTATTTAAAGCCTTGACAATGAGGTAACGTTTTCGTACATTAATATGATTAATAGCCGCTGGCGATTTTACGTACCCAAAACGATAGATTACCAAGCAATCTGATGGGTTTGAACCATCAACTTCTGACCAGATAGCCACTCCGCATGTCCACTGGACCACATATCTTCATACCAAGATGGGTATTTTTTATTTTTAACATTAACTGATTAAGTATAGCAAAAACTGTCACGACTGTAAATAGCCCGAATACGGCTATTCACAGTCAACTGTGAATAGACACATCGTTTCCGGAATCGGCGTTTAGATTATACTAAAAGCGTCCTAGGAGGCTTTTAATTTGGTCATCTGTACGGGCAATGGTTTGTTTCGACCGTTGATTTATTATACAATTCTATTTTTATATCAAAGTGAAGATGTTATAATATTATGTACAAACAAAAAAGTCAAATATATACTCACCTGCTTTAGTTTATTTTGACTTCAAGCACAAGCTATATTATTATTCGCCCCGTAAATACATGGGCAGTTTCGATACGAATCTATCCAATTACGATACCATCCTTATTTATAAGTATCATGTACTTCATGAGAAAGAAATTATTCGATATTTTATATGTCCGCCCAAAACACGGTGGCCACGAAACCGCGAGACCGAGACTTCACGAATCGAAAAGCCTAGGCCCCTATCTAAACTAAGGCTAAAGTAAAAGTAGATCTATAGGCCCTAAATATAAAATAAATGTTTGCATAAAAAAGGGAAAAATCACGATATAGCGTCGGTTATTATTCCGGAACTGTACAGCAGTAAAAAAAAAAAAAACAGTAAATACATGGCGTAGTCTGTCGAGCCGTTCCGGAAACCGCGGAAAATACTGTAAACCCTTATTTATTTGCCGCCATATTATTTTTAATACAAAATGTTTTAAAATGTGCAAGGATTGATTTTAGTTGCATTTTAAATAGTGTGTTGCTAATTATGTTGTATTTCTAATTACTAATTATTTTAAGTGTATGTGCTAAATATTGCTGCTACTAAACATCGTTCTAGTTCTTCTTACTACTTTTTACTTTAGTAAATCTAATCGTCTTATTTTACTAACAGAACTAGATCTAGAAAAACTAGAAATCTAGAGCTAGTGGTCGCAAATCTTCTGCAGGTTTTTTTTCTGTGTTTCTAAAAAAAACATTAATTACTAAACTCGACTTTATTAATAATATTTAGATTTACTAATTACTAATTGTTGCTAATTTTTTGTCAATTTGTTACGAACACCACTCTACAGTTGCAGAGCTGGCGAACGCACCCGGGTTCGTTTAAATGGTTATACACAGATGGCGTAACGCCCAAATAAAAGGTAGCTGGCACAACAGTTCACGAGGACTCGTACTTAACATCTAGGGGATACACTCGAGAAACTCCTGATGCCAACAACACATTTAATCTACATATAACTTTTAATAAGTGTACAAATTCAAGGCAGGATTCTAGATTTATACAGAATAAAATAGATTTACAGAATAAACAAAAACCCAACTTACAAGTTGTAGGAAAAACACTATGATACACTATCACAGGATATAGCACTTTAGAAAAATCACCACAGCTTATACAACACTGCTTAAAGCATACAGTATTACTTTAAACCACAAGTAATGAAGGAAAATGCTGCTCTAAAACTTATAAACTGCAAAATGGCAATGCACACGGCTTACTCTCTCAAAGATGTCTGGTAAGGGACTGCCCAGAAAAACGTGTGCGCAAACTATTTATCGACTTAGGCAACATGGAAGGTCACCTTCAAATCATAAGGCTATTGGTTGGGGCATCACCGATGTCCGAATCAACCAATCATAATTACAGAAGGATTACACAATTTCGCAATGGAAAAGTACTGGGTATAAGTCTTTCTTAAGACAGTGGAAAAATACCGGTGATTACACCACAGGCCATTTATGGTTGGATAACAAATGTAAACTAAAAAAATACAAGACCTAAATAGGTCACATCCCCTCCCTTTTGAAGAGGCAGATAGGTTCCACGAAAAACATACATAAGGAACCAATCTGGCGTAAAAAAAAATGTTCAACAAATGTAGCGAACCAAAATTTCAATACCAGGTGAAAACATCCTTGGAAATCAAAGGGAAGTAATTCAATCTTTTACAATTCGTGAAAGGGGAATAACCCTTTTAAAAAATAATAATACATCAAAGTCCCTCAGACAATGGTAATACAATATTTCCATGTGGATAAAATAAGTGGTAAACCCGACAGGGTAATTCCTTTATTTCAATGACTAGCTACAACATCAACTGAGTCATATGAGACATTTTATCATAAAATATTACATATAATGAAAAACACCTTTAAATAAGGTTCATTTGAGAATAATAAGGATATCCAACAAGATGGTAATTATGAAATGTCAAACACTGACCGCTCACACTCATGAGACAGTGTAGAACAATCAAACAAATTACTTTCAAAATGGTCCTAACTAACCACAAAAATGTCACATGTCCAATGTGGGTACAAAAAAATTACATTCTTGACAAACAGTCAGCCACAATATTATCAATTCCTTTAATATGGGAAATTACCAGATTGAAGTTTTGGAAATATATAAACACCATCTTAAAATTCTGTTATGCTTTTGTCCTAACT